GGAATAGCATAATAGCACCCTCATGTTGTTTATAGCTAATCTGTAAAAAATGCGTAAGATGGTTTAGAGCAGGGAAAACTGACAAATCAGTTGGAAGGTCAGAGTTTAGACAACTGATAAGGATTTGACAAGAGAAATGGACAGAAATAGGTATTTTCAAGAGGCCCTACAAGAGTAGACAGAATTCGATAACAGATACTTGGCAGAAGTAGCAGTGGATATAAGCAGGATGAGTTAAAATGTAAGGAGTAGTAAAGAAATACAGTTTTTAATGAGGGCAGAAAAAGTGTCTCCTATTAATTGCTACATCTCTCTTGCCTTTCACTTAGAGCCTTCTTACATAAATGCCTATACCACTGTCTACATTTTCTTAGCACAAAGTTCCCTCTTAAATTCTGTTATATGGCTTCTATTACCCTTGTTGATGCTGAAACTTCTTACTCTAGAAGGTCACTTCTTCAGTGGGGACACTGACCTTGTGGATACCACAAATCCCATACCAACTTTAAAATAAAGCACTTCTGGTGGAGTGAATTAAATTCATAAATACTTCTTATAATGCTACTTTTCCTACTATCACATAAGATTGAGGAAAGGTGTGTAGCTCTATATTTCAGGGACAATGTAAAGACTGATATTAAAAGAGACGTTTGAATTACATTGAAGAGAGGGTTATACACACGCAAACAATTATTAGGCCTATGTCATTTGTTGTTTTATACTCTAATATGCATATATTCCAAACGCATAGCCCATCCTCCTTAAGATCCCTTAAACATGTTACAAATTTGAAGTGTCTCTGCATTAGTCAAGTGAGGCAGGCCAAAGTTACTCTAAAAGATCTTTTTCACATTTTATTTGAATATAATTCTAATAAATTAACATTTTGTAAGTGTGCAGTAAAGGGTTAAGCCAGCAGCCTCAGGTTACTCAAGCACTGCACTTTTCAATGAGAGGTGTTTTTTTTTTTTAACTTTTTTTTTTTTTTTTTGAGACGGAGTGTCGCTCTTGTTACCCAGGCTGGAGTGCAATGGCGCGATCTCGGCTCACCGCAACCTCCGCCTCCCGGGTTCAGGCAATTCTCCTGCCCCAGCCTCCTGAGTCGCTGGGATTACAGGCACGCGCCACCATGCCCAGCTAATTTTTTGTATTTTTAGTAGAGACGGGGTTTCACCATGTTGACCAGGATGGTCTCGATCTCTTGACCTCGTGATCCACCCGCCTTGGCCTCCACCGCACCCGGCCTTTTTTTAAACTCTTAAGGCATTTATTTATTACAACATTCTCTGATTTCATATTAGCTTAAAATTCATTTCGGTCTTTACATTTTTCCACTGAGGTGACTGCCTCAGCATATTACATAACACCTAATCCAGCACTCAGTGTGACCTGCGTCCACACGCACACTGGTACTGGCCCTTGACTAGCTCCTGGGAAATGACCTGGCCCTTGGGATTTCCGGTTTGATGATAATGTTCTCTAGTATGCCTGAGGTCTTGGGCTGCATTTTGTTAGTTTGATGAGATAGTTCATGCTAACAGTATGACTCATGGTGAATGTCTGTTTTTGAATGGCTGAAGCCCTGAGCCATTAGGTATTATTACATCTCTGGGGGTCTTGAGATTGAATAGGTAAGGTCAGTCACATGGGTGATGCATGTCTATGTGACTACCAGTAAAACCATGGGACCAAGGATTCGTTGAGCTTCCCTGGTTGACAATATTTTGCAATATTATATGTGTATAACCCTCTCTTCAATGTAATTCAAACGTCTCTTTTTTAATATCAGTCTTTACATTGTCCCTGAAATATGGAGCTACACACCTTTCCTCAATCTTATGTGATAGTAGGAAAAGTAGCATTATAAGAAGTATGTATAAATTCAATTCACTCCACCAGAAGTGCTTTATTTTAAATATTGTCAACCAGGGAAGCTGGTCACACATTTCTGGGAGAATGAAGCATGTCCCCATGTGACTCAATGAGGAAGAGGCACCAGGAAGCTTGTGACTGAACTGATACATAAATAGGGTACTGCAAATAACAAAACCTAATATAATTGCCTTAGGGTTGGAGAGAAGACTTTAGGGAGTGGGGATGCAAATATCACAGGCTGGAAAACTGGTGACTTGTTTGGTGGTATATTAGGGTCCTCTAGAGGAACAGAACTAATAGGATAGATATAAATATGAGGGTGACTTTCTTAGGACAACTGACTCACACAATCACAAGGTGAAGTCCCACACTAGGCTATCTGCAAGCTAAGGAGCCAGGAAGCCAGTCTAAATCCCCAAACCTCAAAATTAGGGAAGCCAACAGTGCAGCCTTCAAAGGCCTGATAGTCCCTGGCAAATCACTGGTGTTAGTCCAAGAGTCCAAAAGCTGAAGAAGAACCTGGAGTCTGACGTTCGAGGGCAGAAAACATCCAGCACAGGAGAAAGATGGAGGCCAGAAGACTTAGCCAGTATAGTCCTTCCACGTTCTTTGGCATGCTTTTATCCTAGCTGTGCTTGCAGCTGATTAGATGATGCCAAACTAGATGGAGGGTGGATCTGCCTCTTGAGCCCACTGATTGAAATGTTAATCTCCTTTGGCAACACCCTCACAGACACACCCAGGAGCAATCTTCTGCATCCTTTAATCCAATCAAGTTGACACTCACATTAACCATCACAAGTGGTAACAAAACATTTGGTCAAACTGTCAACAGCTGTCTTTGGAAAGTAAACCAAATGCTGATTCAGGCTGTAGCATTAGGGGAAATGTTAGGAGAAAAACTAAAAATTTGTCATGGGATGGTTCTTTCTTGCTGTGTTCAGCAAGGTACTAGAAGAGAGACATGTGTTTTTTTTCTCGATTGAAACTAGCTAGCCTGCAGAGATGGAGGAAAATATTATCTTAATGAAAGCAGTTTTTGCCCTTTTTTATTTTTATGACGATAAAGGTCACATATGAACAAGAATATGTAAAATATATATGTATAGAGAGTATTTTAAAAGTAAACATCCATGCACTCACCACCCAAGGCAAGAAATGGAACATTGCCAGCATCCCAGAATCACCAGGTGCCACTCCCCAATCAAATTACCTTACCTCTCCACAGAGGAAATCATTATTCTGGTTCTGAGGACAGCAAAACACTTGCTTTTCTTTATAGTTTTATCTCATATACATAAATATATATATCCTTGAAACAATGTAGTTGTTCAGTTTTTACTGTTTTAAACTTTATACAAGTGGAATTATGTTGATGGCATCCTTCTTTAATTTGCTTCTTTTGCTCCACAATATGTCTGTGATACTCATCTACGTTGTGATTAGCTATTTCCTTCATTTTCACCGCTGTGTAGAATTCTATTGTTTTAATATAAATGCCACAGTAGAATTTAACCATTCTACCACTGCTGAATATTTGTTTCATTTCCAACTTTTGGCTATTGCAGTGCTACTATGAACATTAAGAAAAAAATTTTTGAGGCATCTTCCTGACTGGGAAGAACTTTCTTGTACATGCTTCCCAGGGTACATGTTCAGTAGTTTTCCCAAGGCATTATATTAGTTAGGGTCCTAGCAGGGAAAAAAAATAACGGTAATGAAAGATAAACTGCAAAGATGTATACTCAGAGTGCAATTGTTGGGCTTTGAGCATGTTTATCTTTAAATTTATTAAAGGACAAACTTTTCCACAGTGATTGTTTTCAATATAAAAGTTGACATCACCAAAACTTAGTATCATTAGATCATTTCATTTTTGTAAATAGGGTAAGGATGTAATGATATCTCCTTGTAGTTTTATTTTTTACTTCCCAAATATTAATATGGCTGGGAATATTTTCAAGTTTCTTGGTGATTTGGATTTCCTTTCACTTGAAATGCCATATAAAGTCTTTTGTCCAAATTTCTATTGACTGCCTTTTTCTTACTGATTCATAGGAATCATTTATATATTCCAGATACTAGTTTTTCACCAGTTACATATATTGCAAATATGGTAGTTCTTTATGATTAGGTTTATATTAGGTTCACCAAGTAGGTAAGATTATGCATGCTTATTACGGGTCCTTGTGGTTTTGCTGTTATTTTCTTCGAATGCCCCAAATCAAAATTATAATAAAAAGAAAATGGACAAAATAGGTAGTAAGAATGTGATGAAAATTCTGGGCAGAGAAAGCAAAAGTGAAGGTGTAAGAGGGAGGAAGAGTAGAAAAGTAAGAAAAGCATCTCACATCAATTAAAGTTCTAAATTTTATTTCAAATGATTATTAAATATTACTAAATGATGACATTCAACTAAATAAATCCTTAAATGAAAATAATTTAGCATTTATTCTAATATTGAAAATAATAAAAATAAACAAGGCAAGACAAAAAAGAACTGAATATAGTACTATTTACCTTTCAGTACCTTAAATCAGTTTTCATTGAACTTAAATTTGTACAGAATTTACGTAAGTAAATCACATGATCAAGAACCATAACACTACAACTTTGTATTTGTCATAGTGTATAATAACATCAGTCATGGGATTGAATTGGCATGCTAACAGGCATTAAGCTTACTTTAAACAATCTAGTAATTAAAAGTCAAGTTACCACTTTGCCAAAGTCTGCGTGTTCTTAATTAAGCTATTCCTAAAATATTATAATATATAAAATATATATTTACATATTATATAAATATATATTTAGTTAATAAGCTATGAAAAGCAAGGGGAGAGAAAACAAAAATATAAGAGAACAGAAGATTCAGTTCCTTAAAGATGTAACAGAAAATGACTTCCAACTTCATGTTGCAATTAAATAATAACTATTATTATTATGATTTTTGAGACAGAGTCTTACTCTGTCACATCCGGGCTAGAGTGCAGTGGCAAGATCTTGGCTGACTGCAGCCTGGATCTCCCAGGTTCAAATGGTTCTCCTGCCTCAGCCATCTAAGTAGCTGGGGTTACAGGCAGGTGCCACCAAGCCTGGCTAAATTTTTTTTTTTTTTTTAATATTTTTAGTAGAGACGGGGTCTTACCATATTGGCCAGGCTAGTCTGGAACTCCTGACCCGTCAAATAATCTGCCCGCCTTCCCCTCCCAAAGTGCTGGGATTACAGGTATGAGCCACCGTGGCCAGTCTAAATAATTATTTTTTGAGAAGAATTCATTGATAGCACAAAAGTATGTTAAGAAACTACTTAAGCTAACTACTATTAAGCTGTCTTCTTTCACAACTATTAATAAAAATGTTGATAGTAATGTAACTAAGATACTTAATGTGTCTTAATATACATTAATCTTTTGAATTACACATTTTCTCTTGAAGACTATAATAAAATGACTATACAATTCATTCTTCTTTATAGATTTGTAGAAAGTACCAACATAACTGACAGGAAATGAAATACTGTCATTTAAAAGTCCTGTATTAAAATAAAACTACTTTGAATCATCTTGGCCTAAATATTTTAAAAAGTGATTCAAGTGTTTATTCATAACAGAATTTTAAATAAGAAAAGCCAAATTAAAAATTATATTTTAAGCAAAAACCATTTTAACACAGATAATACTATGATATTATTTTCCTGAAGGTAAGAAAATCACTTATGCTAGTTATGTTAATACTCTTCATAGAACTTAAGATAAATTTTAATTATGAATGCTCATGAGGTAGCTAAAGATACTAGGATCAATGCCAACAAAGTAGTTAAGTGCTAAAAAAATCCTTAGGATAATATAGGTTTGCATGAATCTTTGACAGCCCTTACAAATCTGTTTTTCTAATCAGTATAAAAATAATTTTAAAAATCACCTTCTGATCTAATTCCTAATTTCCTTTTTAAAAATGATCTCTTAATAGGATTAATTTCCAACTGATGTAAAACAGAAGTAAATTCTCATGGTTATAAAAAAGATATAAAGAATTCGTATATATTCCAAATTCTTAGAAAAGCAAATGTCATCTGAGGAAGGATTATTGCACTTGCCTTTACTAAATAAATCTGCAAACTTAAAATCAGGAAGAACAAATTCATTGATTATAAAATAACAAGTTTCAATTAAAAATTAATGATCAAATGTTCAATGTTTACTTAAAAAATGTATCAAGGGTAAGTTTGGGATTGCTTGGTTTTATTTTCTTTGATGTTGAGTACTTTGTCATCAATCCTGGCCTAGAATGAAAAGGAATACACAATTAAAATGCAGGAAGAGATTCTAGAAAATAATTCATTTTTAATATTGATTACTTAATAATTTATAAAATAATTGAATTTTCATATTGTAGCCAGCTTTATTAAGGCTCAAATTAGCCATACCTTTTTGTTCTTGTTACAGTCTTCTGTACTCCACTTGAGTTACCTTTAAAGGAAAGAAAAGTCAAGAAATTCCATAATGAATAACATGAAATAATTTAAAAGTTGTATAAAAATTTAAAAAGTTAAAACTAATTGATTAAAGCTAATAACTTCCTTGGTACTATATAGTTCATATGTAAACACCAAAAACTATAGTTTCTTTGTAATTTACTAGTTTTATTAGCATTACACTTAATTTTATTGGTGAAATTTGGGTAGACTCAACATTACCAAGTTAAAGAGGCTTTCTTGTTATGCAATTATAGTTAATTTACCACTGTGCCTTCACAGATGTTCTCTGAAGGAATTTCTTTTTTGATTAGATCACTCAACTCTTTCAACCTTTGAGTTCATTCTGTACTAAATCAAGATCAAACCAAAGTTTTCCCAAGATTCACAATCTATAGGCTTGAGTTAATTCTAAACTATGGCAAGGTAACTAACATTTTCCTAAATAGCAGCATACACAAACTACCCATTTTAATAGTGTGTGTTTCAGATTTAACAACAATCTCATTAATTTTAATAAAACTTATTCCTAGAAAACCATGTAGCTTAAAATGACTACATACTCACCAGTATTTCTGGAGTTTTCTTTGGGTTGATTAACTGGGTTAACTTTATCCCTTCTTAGTTCTTGGATAACACTTTTATTTAAGCAAACATCCACATGCACATTGAACAGGGTTAGATCTGAAGTCTTTTGTTCTACGTTACAAACAGGACAAACTAGAGCTTGGCCTGTTACCACTTTACATAAATAAGGCTGGCAGGATTCTTGTCTACTTAATAATCCAACATCTTCATTTTCCAATGAAACAGTACAAGAATTCTGATGACAGTGTTCAATATTAAAAGACTTGCTTGGGAGACTAGAACATTCTTCCTTGCTATGTTTATTACTTAAAGCATCTATGCTTTTTGCTTTAGATGAGTTATCTATAGTATCTACTAAATCTACACAATCTACTGAAGATATTTCTTTATTTTTTGGATGGGCTTCATCATCTTGCTTCTCATAAAGTGAAGAAGAAGAAACATTTTCTTTCTTGTTAACTTTGGTTGCAGAAACATGTGAACATGAGAACATTTTAGAGTTTTCACTGATTGAAGGTCCATCAAGACATGCATCTACATGTTTATTAAAGGCTTCCAGACTGATGTATCCTTGTGCCCTAAAGCAAACAGGACAGGTAAGTATCTGACAATTTTCTGAATTCTCTGATATTTCCAAATTCTCATTCATCTTCTTTAAAACTGGGAATAGTTGTGATGTCTGTAAACTTTGTTCATTCATGGTTTCACATTTAAATGTATCCTGGTGGCTCCATTTCCTTTCTGATCGTTTTTTATCAAAGAAACTCTTCTTAGGAGACACTTCTAGAGGTTTTGCAAACTTATCTTTGTTAGTTTTCTCTAGTATACACCCATTGGCTGATGGGGTTTGGTTTCCAGCCTGTAAAAAGCCAATAATGCTCCTTTGTTGGTGTTTCCTGTCTTCTTCACTGGGAAAACTAGATATCCGAACACCTAAATTAAATCAATCACAATCAAATTCAAATTCAACAAAGCCAATTCACTCACAATGCATAAAAACATTTTGTCTCATGCTATGACATATACAAAAAGTTGGCTAGAGAGAAACAATAAGTAACATTTCAAAGCTGGTATCATGAGTGAAAATTTACTTTCCTTTATAAAAGAATACCCCCCATTAAATATTAACTATTTAGAGTTAGCAGGATGATGTAGGACTTTAATTCATATATGACACATAATACCATTAAATACTATGTAACTAACTGGAGTCAACTATACAGACTCTTTAACTTTTTTTTCTTCCAATAAACTTTATTTTTTAGAGGAATTTTAAATTCACAGAAAAATTAAGCAGAAGGTACAATGAGTTCCCATAGAGCCCCTTCCCCTACACATGTACACCCTTCCACCCCAACTATCAACATGTGGTACCAGAATGGTACATTTGTTACAATCTACAAACCTACATTGCCACAACATTGTCACTCAAAGTCCATAGCTTACATAGGGTTCACCCTTGGTGTACATTCTGTGTGCCTGGACAAATTTATAATGACGTGTGTCATTATAGAATCATACAGAATCATTTCATTGCCCTAAAAATTCCAGTGTTTTGCCTATTAATCCCTTCCTTCCCTCCTAACTCCTGATAATCAATTATTTTTTACTGTATTTATATTTCCTTTTTCCAGAATCTCATATAGTTGGAATCATACAGTATTTAGCTTTTTGAGATTGGCTTCTTTTACTTAACAATAGGCAGTTAAGTTTCATTCATGTCTTTTCATGACTTGATAATTCATTAATGTGCTGAATATTATTCCACTGTCTGTATGTACCACAGTTTATTTATCCTTTCACCTACTGAAGGACATCTTGCTTGCTTCCAAGTTTTGGCAAGTATGAATTAAGCTTCTATAGACATCTGCTCTTTGGCTTTTTTTTTTTTTGAGAAGGAGTTTTGCTCTTGTTGCCCAGGCTGGAGTGCAATAGCGTGATCTTGGCTCACTGCAACCTCTGCCTCATGAGTTCAAGCAATTGTCCTGCCTCAGCCTCCCGAGTAGCTGGGATTACAGGTGCCCACCACGACATCCAGATAATTTTTTGTATTTTTAGTCGAGACAGGGTTTCACTATGTTGGCCAGGGTGGTCTCGAACTCCTTACCTCAGGCAATCCACCCACCTTAGCCTCCCAAAGTGCTGGGATTATAGGAGTGAGCCACTGCTTCCAGCCCGGCTCTTTTAATTAACATTTTATTCAGTTAAGTGTGTGTGGTATCTTTCTTATATGAAAGTATGGCTAGTGACCCGCTCCTACTAGTAAAGTAGGCATTTGGAGTGCTGATCCATATACATACTTTGACCCAGTTCACTTTGGAAACATGGCTTGTTAGTTTTTACCATGCAATGGCTGGAGATGTGATTTCATTCATCACAATCCTTTATCTGTAATTCCGAAATCCAAAAAGTTCTGAAAACTGTAAACAAGTGATAACTAATGACTAAATTAACGAGAGACTAGAATCTTTACAGTCTCTGAATATTTTGTTTTGCTACAGAAATATTAATGTGTTTAAACAGGCGGTGTTGCCCCAGATCCACAAAGAACTGTTACATAATATACATGCACTGAATTTGCTTTCTAAAATATGAAAAGTTTTGAATTTTGAAACATACCTGGACTTCAGAATTTCATTAATAAGGAAAAGAACAACTTTAATTGGCACTTACTGGAATTAAACTAATGATCATGGCTTCTCAAATCAGGATCTAATAATTAAGATAAATGGCAGCAGCAAAGAAAAAACTTCCTAAACAGGTTTAAGAAATAAAATGAAAGTGAGAATACAGGTGCTCTTTGACTTAAAATCGGATTGTATCCAGATAAACCCATTGTAAATTGAAAACATAATAAGTAAACTCAGAATACTTTCAATTTATGATGGGTTAATTGGACATAACCACAATGACCACATTGTAAGTTGAGAGTATACTGAAAACAACATACAGCTTTCCCACCACTGCAAAGTTGAAAAATCAGTAAGTTGAACCACTGTTAAGCTGGGGGCCACCTGTATTCCCATAGTTGATTATTTGGGAAAATCTAGCAGATTTAAGGGAAAACAAAAATAAAAAGTCATACCCATAAGTCTTAATCTTAAAGGATGTGGAAAATCAGCATCAATTTCTGTTTTTAGCAACTCCTTAGCAATGGCAAATATTTCTTCTGCAGTAGAAACAACAGATGAAACTGTAGATGCACGAGTTTTTACTTCAAAATTCACATTCTTCAACTTAATGGTAACAGTTCTACCCTATAACATATACAATACGTTATTTATTTATTTATTTATAAGATAAGGTCTCTCTCTGTTGTCCATGCTGGAGTGTGCTGGCACAGCTGTAGCTCACTACAGCCTTCAACTTCTGGGCTCAGGTGATCCTCTTGCCTCAGCCTCTTGATAGCTAAGATTACAAGTGCATGCCACCATACCTGGCTAATTTTTTAATTTTTGGTAGAGAGAATCTCACTATGTTACCTAGGCTAGTCTCAAATTCCTGGCCTCCAGGGATCCTGGCCTCCCAAAGTGTTGGAATTACAGGCATGAGCTACTGCACCCACCAGAATACATTATTTTATATGATGTCCTAACTTCTAGAAAAAAGTCTTGTTAGAAAAATTCAGAAAGGTTTACAGACACAAGAATATGAAGTATAACCAATTATTTATAAAACATGGTGATAAAAACTATTATAATTAAAATACCATTTTAGCTAACAATTTTTACTCCCCTTTCCAAACATAAGCTGAAATCCCATTTTAGTTTTCAGATGGTGGTCTCACTCTATTGCCCAGGCTGGAGTACAGTGGCATGATCATGGCTCACTGCAGCTTCAGTCTCCCAGGCTTGTGCTATCCTCCTGCCTCAGCCTCCCAAGTAGCTAGGAGTACACGCTCATGCCACTATGCCCAGCTAATTTTTAAAATTTTTTGTAGAGACGTGATTTCACTATGTTGTCCAGGTTGGTCTTGAACTCCTGGGCTCAAGGAATCCTCCTGCCTCAGCTTCCCAATGTGCTGGGATTACAGGCATGAGCCACTATGCTTGACTTAAAATCCCATTTTAGCCAGTAATTATTATTCCCCTTCCCAACTGAATTTTTTTTTTGTTTATTTTTTATGTTAGAGTCTCACTGTGTAGCCCAGGTTGGAGTCCAGTGGAGTGATCTCGGCTCACTGCAACCTCTGCCTCCCAGGTTCAAGCAGTTCTCCTGCCTCAGCCTCCCGAGTAGCTAGGATTACAGGTGCACACCCTGCACATACCATCACGCACATCAGCACCAAGCTGACCCATGCACTTCAGCAAAGTGGAAGATGAGTGGGGATTCTGGTGAGAGGCAAATCCAGATTCCGGATTGCAGCAAGCCAGCCAGGGAGGCTGACGTCACTCTACAGAAGACCAGGACCAGGCCCTGGCCTTGACCAGGTGCTCCCCACTACACCCTCTCACAGATTTTTTTTTATTATACTGTAAAAATGCAATAATTTTATTTTTTATTTTTTTCTTTGTGTGTGTGTGTGTGTGTGTGTGTGTGTGTGTGTGTGTGGTGGTATTGTTGTTGTTGTTGTTTGTTCTAATTTTTTATATTTTTAGTAGATACAGGGTTTCACCATGTTGGCCAGTCTGGTCTCGAACTCTCAATCTCTTGTGATCCACTCACCTCAGCCTCCCAAAGTGCTGGGATTACAGGTATGAGGCAACGTGCCTTGCCCCCTAACAAATTTTTATAAAAGACATTTACATTAAGGGCAAGGTTAAATGATCACATTCATTCATTCATTCATTCATTTGACAGAGTCTCACTCTATTGCCAGTCTGCAGTGCAGTGGCACGATCTCAGCTCACTACAATCTCCGCCTCCCAGGTTGAAGTGATTCTCCTGCCTCAGCCTCCCGAGTAGCTGGGACTACAGGTGTGCGCCATCATGCCCAGCTAATTTTTGTATTTTTTAGTAGAGACAGGATTTCACCATGTTGACCAGGATGGTCTCAATCTGTTGACCTCATGATCTGCCTGCCTCACCCTCTCAAAGTGCTGGAATTACAGACGTGAGCCACCGTGCCTGGCAGGTCACTTTCATTTTTACAGAATCTCTTTTGGAGGTTGATTCACACAAAGGAAGGAAAAAAAATTCTTTCTCAAAGTGTCTCATTGAAAAGGACTTAAGAATAGCTCATACTTATTATGTGCCTTCTATATTGTCAGATACTATGCCAAACAATTTACATATAAGAATTCCCTTTATATTTAAGTTTGTTTTTCTTCTGTTGTTTTGTTTTGTTTTGAAATGAAGTTTCACTCTTTGTTGCCCAGGCTGGAGTGCAACGGGGAGATCTTGGCTCACCACAACCTCTGTCTCCTGAGTTCAAGCGATTCTCTTGCCTCAGCTTCCTGAGTAGCTGGGATTACAGGCAGGTGCCACCACACCTGGCTAATTTTGTGTTTTTAGCAGAGACGGAGTTTCTCTATGTTGGTCAGGCTGGTCTCGAACTCCCGACCTCAGGTGATCTGCCATCCTCCGCCTACAGTTAAGTGTTTTATGAGTGCAAAGTTTCAGTGAAGACAATGAAACAGTTCTAGAGATGGGTGGTGGTGATGGTTATACAACAATATGAACGATACACTTAAAATGGTAAATTTTATGTTATGTATATTTTAGTATCCCCTGGAGAAGGAAGTTAATTCCTATTCTCTCTCATCAGAGGGTAGATTACATTTACTAACTTACTTCAAAAGGGAAAAACACTAACTTCACAGCAGAGAAGCCTAGTAAACACTAAGTGTTGAAGGTTAATATCATCCATGATATCATGTGGCTATCATATACCCCATGATAGGATGTTATGAAAAGGGAACTTTCTCTTTGTGGTATTCTAAAAATCCATAACCTTGATCTAATCATGAAAAAATCATCAGATTAAAAAAAACAAGATTGGGGGACATTCTGCAGAATATCTGTATAATACTACCCAAGACTGTCAAGGTCATGAAGAAGAAAGAAAGACTACGAAACTATCGCAGACCAGAAAACTGGAGACACATGACAGCTAAATGCAACATAGTCCCCTGGATTGAACTGTGGAATGCAAAGAGGACATTAATGGAAAAATAAGTAAACTCCTAATAAAGTCTGGGGCTGAGTTAATAATTGGCAATATACTAATGTCAGTTTCTTACTTTTGACAACTGTACTCTGGTAATACATTAATAATGGAGAAAACTGGATGAGGAGTATGCTGAAATTCTATTATTTGTTGTGACTTTCTTGGAAATCTAAAATTATCATAAAATTAAACATTTAAATATTTTTTTAAAAAGAAAATTCTTAAACTCAAGGTATGATAGAGAAGGATTATGAGAAAAATACTCATCAGATATCCCATTCTTTGTCATAATTTTTTTTTTTTTTTTTGAGACGGAGTTTCGCTCTTGTTACCCAGGCTGGAGTGCAATGGCACAATCTCGGCTCACCGCAACCTCCGCCTCCCAGGTTCAGGCAATTCTCCTGCCTCAGCCTCCTGAGTCGCTAGGATTACAGGCATGTACCACCATGCCCAGCTAATTTTTTGTATTTTTAGTAGAGACAGGGTTTCACCATGTTGACCAGGATGGTCTCGATCTCTTGACCTCGTGATCCACCCGCCTCGGCCTCCCAAAGTGCTGGGATTACAGGCTTGAGCCACCACGCCCGGCCTGTCATAATTTTTTAAACAAATTTTTTACTGATGCATAGTATGAACACAGTAAATTATCACATGTACCTCATAGTTTTGATCTTCATAAAGATCAAATAAGTGTACTTGGGATATCTATCACCTTAAATATTTGTATCTTTTTAATGCTGGAAACATTCAAATTATTCCCTTCTAGCTATTCTGATATGTAAAATAGAATATTGTACACTATAGTCATCTTACTGATCTATTAAACACCAGGTCTTATTTCTTCTATCCAACCATATATGTGTATCTGTGTAGCAATTTTAAAATGCTTTTTTATTACACTTTGCACTGACTCTACCTATGGTTTAAGAGTATTGGGAATACACTAAATATAAATTATTGTGACTGAAGATTATAAAATAGCAAGTTCAAAGCCTTACGGGCTTTTGTTGTCTTGTGTTAAGCAACCTGGATTATAGCCTTGAAACAAAACGCCTATTTTAGAAGATCATTGTCTAAGTAAGAAAAACATTAAAGGATGATTGGAAAGACATTCGTAATATGTGAATACAATTCTTGGGAAACGCTTTCTTTTGCTTTATTCTCTAATGCCAGTGTAACTCTGGTTTTGAACTTATTCAAATATACTCCTGAGGTACAGGAGTAAAGTCCTCTGAATTATACTGAACCACTCTATCCTCGTAAGTTGCTTCTTCATAGAATCACCTCATCACAGACTTCAGATATGGGTCAGAATTGAATTTGTCTGACTGCTGGGGATAGGAATACACTATTCTGACATTTATTAATTTGTAGTCATCATTAAGAAATGTGTAATTTAACTCTAGCTTTAAGGTAGCATTATTAAAAAACTTAAAAACTAAGGACACCATATCAAAATAAAGCACCTTAAGTCCTTCTTTCTGTAGATCTTGAGCAAGTTCACTGCAAAGTTCTTGGCATAGGCTGTATTGTTCTTCTGCTTTATTTATCTCACTGAAAGTCCTAGAAAGACAAGAAAGATTTTGATGCACAAAGTAAACCACAATTCAGGATAGTTTGGAAATGGTATGCATGTTTATGTGGCTAGCATTAAGTTATATTTTCTGCAGTACAAAATAAAGTTTTCAAATGAACTAAGATTTAATTAAGTAAAAATATCTAAGATCTATATAAATATTGCATGATTAGCAAAGGAACAATTTTATGCTCTTGCTCTATTATATCACAAAAAAGATAATTAAACTTACCAACAGATAATGGTAACACCTCCAGAACTTAAAACAGATTAGGGCATATATATATATATATATATATATATATATACTTTGTTACAGAAGATTATCTTAAGAAAGTCCAAATGAGAATATGATTCCAATTACTGCACATAGATTTTCTGGATGAGAAACATCTTTAAGTAGATTTAAAGGGTTGACCCATGAAGCCTAGGCAGAGTTATTTAATAGACAGTTGAAAATAGAGGCTGGGCCGGGCGTGGTGGCTCAAGCCTGTAATCCCAGCACTGTGGGAGGCCGAGGCGGGTGGATCACGAGGTCAACAGATCGAGACCATCCTGGTCAACATGGTGAAACCCTGTCTCTACTAAAAATACAAAAAATTAGCTGGGCATGGTGGTACATGCCTGTAATCCTAGCGACTCAGGAGGCTGAGGCAGGAGAATTGCCTGAACCTGGGAGGCGGAGGTTGCGGTGAGCCGAGATTGTGCCATTGCACTCCAGCCTGGGTAACAAGAGCGAAACTCCGTCTCAAAAAAAAAAAAAAAAAAAAAGAAAAGAAAAGAAAATAGAGGCTGATAAGATTAAATATAGATATTTTGAATTCATTTGCAAAAGAGTACTGAAGAAAGTTGATAGGTGATATTAACATAAAAGAGGATAATAGAAAGAGGCGAGAATGATGAGCATGGACCCTGGGCAAGTGACCCATCAGAAAAGAGTTCCCTTTCTACTTTTAACCTTGTCCTCAGCTACTCAGTTCTCTTCCCTAGTGACAATCAATGTGTCAGCTTCTTATTCTTATGAATTCCTTAGAAATATCCCACATATGTATATGCAAACAACATGACATTTCCCCCTTATTTTTTTATATTAACAGTAGAATTTTAGATATTGTTTAGTACCCTGCTTTTCTTAATTTATCTTGGTAAGAGTTCCCCATGAGTAAATGATTTCCTCATTTTTATACAGTAGCATAATATTCTAATTTAAATATATCAGGTAATTTAACCAATTCTCTATTCATGGATATTCAAGTTTTTTCTATCATAAAAGATGCAATGAGTAACCCTGTGTATATGTAAAATGACAGGTGACTACATCTGTGGAATTAATTCTTAGTAAAAGAATTATGGCATCAAAGTACATGTGTATCTGTGATTTTGATATATATTATCAAATTTCTTACCCCCTGTGGTAAACCAGATAATGGTCCCTAAAGATGTTCAAATCCTAATCCCTGGAATCTGTGAACCTAGTACCTTACATGACAAAAGGGATTTAGCAGATGGTGATTAAATTCTGATCGAGAGAGATTACTCTGGAATGTCCAGCTGTGCCCAATGTAATCCCAAGGGTCCTTATAAGAAGGAGGCAGGAGGGTTAGAGTCAGATAAAGAAGTTGCTGAGGCTATGAGTTAAGGAATGCCGGTGGCCTCTAGAAGATTTTCATAAAGAAATGGACTCTCCTCCAGAGCTTCTAGAAGAAACGGAGCTCTACCAACACATTAACTTTAGAACCACTGACTTTCAGAATGACAGAGAATAAATTTGTGTTGTTTTAAGCCACTAAATTTGTAGAAATTTGTTATAATGGCAATAAAAAACCTAATGTACTCTTCCCTCTAAAGTTTATACATTTTTACTCCCACAGTCTTGCCAATAAAGTAGGTTAGAATCTTGGCCAACCAGTGAAAGAAAGGTATCTGAGAGAACTTTCAATCTGCATTTTTTTAATTATAAATAAAAATGGCAATATTTTCACTTGTTTTAAGAGCCATTTGTATTTTCTTTTCTATTAGTTAATCAGACCTTTGTTCATTTTTTGTATTGGCTTACTGTCTCTTTTTTATTGATTATAAGAGCTCTTTCTATATTAAAGAAGTGTGTAAATAAATTGCAACCTCCTTTGCTCCAACTTCATACCAAATTTGATGTTATATGGCCCATTTTAAAAAAGAGCAAGGAGAGACAGTTTCCAGAAAAACAGTGGAGAACACATTCCTGTATATCAAATAGCGTCCTCAATAACAGACAAAATGGCAGAGCATTTTATTAATAGGACAATACTATTTTGCTTTTGGATGCTTTTTTCTCTCTCTTTGATTGCTTTCACATGGACCGAAACCTAAAATAGCAATTTTTATCAAATCCATTTACTGTGTTGTCTTGTAAAAGTTATTTCGCTTTTCTGACCACAAACAATATATGTGAAATATGAACACACCTTGACTAGGTCAGTGTTTTGTCTTGTTTTGGTTTTGAGACAGAGTCTCACTCTGTTGCCCAGGCTGGAGTGGAGTGGTGCCATCTTGGCTCACTGCAAATTCCACCTCCCAGGTTCAAGCAATTCCCGAGCCTCAGTCACCCAAGTAGCTGGGATTACAGGTTTGAGCCACCATGCCCAGCTGATTTTTGTATTTTTAGTAGATACAAGGTTTTGCCACATTGGCCAGGCTGGTCTCAAACTCCTGGCCTCAAGTGTTCTGCCTGCCTCTGCTTCCCAAAGTGCTGGGATTATAGGCATGAGCCACCTTGCTGGGCCCTAGGTCAGTGTTTCTTAAATGTCTCAGTGGAATGAACCTTGCTACTTTGAGAAGATAATTGAGGGACATTTCAAACAATTACTTATTTCCCCAAATAGTACTAGTTTCCATCAAGATTTTCTTTGGTTTTCCAACAGGATTGTGAACCACTAAACTAGATCATCTTTAAGCTTTCTTTCAATAGTAATACTTTACTATGTGATTAAGCTTCTGCTTAATCACCAATATTGAAAGAATTTTAGGAAGAATTACCATTGTTACTTCTTAAATTTCCTAAGTAAATACTCAATTGTCCTTATAAACAAGCTAGAAATTAAAATATGAAATTCTAAAATGCTTTGTTTTCACTAAGGATTAAAAACCAACATTAAAAAAATAGCTGAAGTTTATTTTTGAGATTATAGCAACTAAAAATAATAGTCTTATACTAAGGCATTTACTTCAGGGAGTGTAAACTACTAAAAATGGTTATAGTAATTTGCAAATAGATTCCTTATTTCAGTGATATTAAAAATCAATTTAAAATTAGTAAAATAACATGAATTATGCACAATTAACAATAATTAACAAAACATTACCTTTCAACGCTCATACTCTTCCTCTCTCCATCCCTTAAAATGAAAAAAAAAAGTCTTTATTTTTCAAAGACTGAGTTTTTTTAGTTAACCAAGAGGATTTAACCATCAATTACCTTTTAGAGATCTCAAATTTTTTATTAAAATTTATACTTCATGAAAAAGTGTTTTTTATCCAAAAATAAACAAAGAACATACATAGGTAAGATGCTAATCAAGTCTATATCTAATGAAGAGAACAAACTTGAAAATAGGTAGATATTAGAAATTGCTTCTATTAAAAACCTATCAAAAACCACAAGCTATAAAAACAAATAGGAAGTGGTAATGTAGTATCTTCCAGTTACAGAATACAATTAAATTTTTAAAAATTTAAAATCATTTATCTAGTTTTTGGTCTAGTATATTAACTTATTTCTCCCATACCCCATTCATTATTCATTTATACCACTCTAGAGAACCTCAGTCAGAATTTGATACAGACTATAGGATGAAGACTGGGAATCTGAACTACGTGGTTTGGCTGTATTCCAGCTGCTCGACAGGACTAGTTAAAACCAAAAAGTTGAAATTACATGTAGAGTACTCATTTTCCAAACATTTAGTGAATCTATTATGATTCAAGCACTGTTCTAGAACTTGAGGATATAGTAATGAAGAAAACAGACCAAGTACTTGCCCTAAGGAAACTTACATATATCCCACTGAAGAGAGACAGATAAACAAATATAGTAGTAAATACGGAATAGATAGAAGGGGAGAAGTACTCAGATTAAAAAGCAAAGCAAAGTAAGGGAATAGAGAATACGGACAGAGGGAAAGGCAGGCTTGATATATTATTATAAATTACCTATGAATTTCATGTAAAAGCCTTACCTGCATCTCTAAATACCACAAGTTAATATATGTTATATTAAATCAGAACTATATTGTTTTCAAGCACTATGGAAATAAAAAAAATTTAGATTAAAAATAAAGTTTTATTTCCTGTTATCTTCTAATATAATTACTTATAGTGCTGTGACATCTTTATCTTTCATTATGTCCACTGAAGATCAAAGTCAGCTAACTATGGACTCAAAAGATTGAAGAGCAGGAAGAGATGAGTAAAGTATTACAACAAGCCTTGCAATCTCTGTAAAATTTAGTAGGTTTAATTGGTCAATCAATTTTATATGCATCCCCATTGATTTTTATTGTTGTCCTTTAGTTTAAACACAAGAATATAAAGGAGTCATTTTGAGGACAGTCTGACAAGACAATGACAAAATTGTCAAAATAGTACCCAGTGTTGACTTCCATGATTCCCAGTCTTTCAAAATTCCCTTCTTCTCACCTATCCTCCCAGCAATTTACCTTCTCTCTCTAGAGGTCCTCTTTTTAAGACCTAGATAAAAGAGTGGCAGGGAAGAAAACCCAGGGTATTTCCCCTAGCTGTTCCCTCTTTCAGCCTTTGCATGACTGGCTCCCACAGGTCTCTCTCCCTTTGGATGATGGTTGCCATCCCTCACACTTACCCCCAAGTCATTTTCTATGCCCTCACTCTGCTTTACTTTCTTCATTTGTTTATTTGGTTATATTCTATCTCTCACACTAGTCTGTAAACTCCATGAAGGCAGCAAACGCCTATTTGCTGCTGTTATCCATAGTGCCTGGAATAGTACCTAACACAAAATTCTCAGTACTGAATGAATGAATCATTTACAAATTTGGAAAACCAAAGAAATGTGGTTTAAGGCTTTCAAAGAATCATCATATCTCCTTCCTTTATTAAAGTGTGTATTATGGAATATGGCCATCTTTCTTTCCACAACAACCTAACTACTCTTAGGTTCTGTTTTTTTTTCTTTTTCTTTTCTTTTTTTTTTTTTTTTGAGATGGAGTCTTGCTCTGTCGCCAGGATGAACAACCTGACTACTGGCATTCCTCTTAGGTTCTGGTTTTTTTTGTTTGTTTTTGTTTTTTTTTTAGATGAAGTCTTGCTCTGTCACTAGGCTGGAGTACAGTGGCGCAATCTCAGCTTACTGCAACCTCCACCTCCTAGGTTCAAGTGATTCTCCTGCCTCAGCCTCCCTAGTAGCTGTGGAACTACAGGTGCCCACCACCATGCCCAGCCAATTTTTGTATTTTTAGTAGAGACGGGGTTTCACCATGTTGGCCAGGATGGTATCTATCTCTTGACCTCATGCCTCATGATCTGCCTGCCTCGGCCTCCCACAAGTGCTGGGATTATAGGCGTGAGCCACCGTGCCCAGCCTCCTCTTAGGTTCTGAACAAAGAACAAGGTAGGATAAAAAAGAAAGTAGCTATCATTCCTCTTGTCTCTCTACCCAATGCTTAAGCCAACAACCTAGGAGTGATTCTTCATTCTTCTTTTCCCTTTCTCCTACATCCAATCTGTTGACTCTAATTCAAACATTATATTCTGAATTAAACTAGCCTAAAAGAATTTTAAAACATGTTATCCATATAGCCTCATATCAATGGTTAAAACTGATATTGCAGTAAATGCTAAAGAAAAAACATAATGACAATACATATAGATACCTTGTCAGGTGTGTTGAGCCTAGACCCAAAGAGATATGAAGGAAATAATGCCAAGATGTTTCAGAGAAAAGGAGAGAAAGCAATGCCCTCTGTTGGTAAAGTTCTGTGCATGTAATAATTCCAAGGGCCTTTAACATTTTTTCTGTAACTTTTCCTATTCCAGAAACCTAGAAAAGAATCAATATTTATTATTAATAGATTTTAAAGGTGAGCTAAAAATTGAGATTATAATCTCATTATGCTTTTTTTTTTTTTTTTTTTTTTTTTTGAGATTGAGTCTCGCTCTTGTTGCCCAGGCTGGAGGGCAATGGCACAGTCTTGGCTCACCGAAACCCCGAAACCTCCACGTCCTGCGTTCAAATGATTCTCCTGCCTCAGCCTCCCGATTAGCTGGGATTACAGGCATGCACCAGCACACCTGGCTAATTTTGCATTTTTAGTAGAGACGAGGTTTCTCCACGTTGGACAGGCTGGTCTCGAACTCCTGACCTCAGGTGATCCACCCACCTCGGCCTCCCAAAGTGCTCATTATACCTTTTATAATTGATTAAAGGTATGATTAATGTGCCTATCATCTTCACAAGTCATGCAAGAAAACTGCTTTAATTACTTTTCACCACATTTACTAAACTAGCTTTTCATGGAATTTCAAAAGGCTTAAAAAAGGAGTATTGTGGTCATATAAACTTGGGGAATGGTGGGACTAACAAATTTAAGTGAAGCTTTTAATTGCAAGATTTATGAATCTTTAATATATTAATATGCATAGTGACATGACAACAGTGTGTGACACACCCAAAGGTATTTGACCCCAGAACCTTTTTAAAGAGAATACATATTCATACTTGAAAAACACATTGGAAAACACTGCTTTGCAGCTACGCCTTACATATACTAGTCAGTAATCATTATATGTTACATACTGAGCATGGGAAAAATATTTAAATTCATTCATGTACATTATGTTGAATGAGAAAAGCAAATCCTAGAACATCATATACAGTAGTGTGTAGTGCAATTATTGGAAAAAAAAATGTATGTACTCAGAAAAATCTAGAAGCTTTAAAAAATAATATAGAAGCTTTAAAAAAAAAAATAAGGTATACACTTTTTTGGAAGCCCTGAGGGATAATTTTACCATTTTTAAAATGGTGAAGTATTTTGGTTTATTCTTTGTCAACAACAATTAAAATTCTAAATATCTTTGAAGCATCATGCCCATTAATCTAGCAGCAATCTGGACTTTAGAACTAAGCTAGCACTAAGTTACAGATGAAAGGACTGTTACAAATGTTATTTTAATTTCCCTTCTGCTTGGCAGGAGTTCATTTAAAAAACTGTGATTATTACTTTCTTAAAAATTTATAGGAAATATACACTAAATCTCACTTTTAAGGTTTCATAGAAACATTTCTTCAAGTCCAAATTCAATCACCCATTATACTTCTTGCTTGTTATCTATTGTTTTAAAACTTTTTAGCAAAGAATGATTAACTATTGGTCTACATAGTTATCTCTTCAGAATTTGGCGTACGTATATAGATGAAAAAGTTTATATAAAATCTTACCTTTCTAATGGGTAAATCCTTGATGAAGTCCATCACAGCTTGTCTATCGGGGAGAATTTGGTATTGTCCATTTGGTTTATTCTTATCACTGCATACTTTTGCTAACATTGTATTTGGGGCAATGCCTTAAAAGAAGAATACTCGGATAACTCAAAGAAGTTGATATGTATGATTTTTAAATATGCAATAACAAAACAGAAAAAAATGTTAATTGCAAAAAATCTCAAATGATTTGTACTGCTACTTTAAGAATAACATTTGATTACCATCTACCTTACTTCCCCAGAGCCTGCTATATGGTTTTAGAAAAAGAGATTGTGTTAGTTACTGTGGCAGCAAAAATGAGGAATATTTAGTTCTCCATGATATTTTAAAATGTAAGAGTAATTTCTGAGCTGAGCAATATTAAGTGTTATTATTAGTTTACTTACTACTTTTAGTGGGAATACAGATTTTGTTTTTGTTTTTTTTTTCAGATGGAGTCTCACTCGGTTGCCCAAACTGGAGTGCAGTGGCGCGATCTTGGCTCACTTCAACCTCCACCTCCTGGGTTCAAGTGATTCTCCTGTCTCAGCCTCCTGAGTACACCCAGCTAATTTCTATATTTTTAGTTGAGACAGAGTCTCACTATATTGGTCAGGCTGGTCTTGAACTCCTGACCTCAAGTGATCCACCCGCCTTGGCCTTCCAATGTGCTGGGATTGTAGGTGTAAGCCAACACGCCTGGCCCAGATTGTTTTTATAGTGGTTCTGTATCCACTTCTCAGAAAAGATCCAGATATAATTTAGGATGGATATTTACTCTCTGAAAAGGTCTTCTGCATAGATTATCCACATAAAGGAAAAAATCAAAGATTCTGGGCTGCAGTATATTTAAAATAATGATAATTAGATTGGTGCATCCTTTTTACGTTATTCACAAAACAAATTACTATTTTTCAGAAAGATGTTTTATAATTTCTGGGAGTCCTGATTAAGATAATTTGAAATGGGTACATTCAAATATATTCATTAAACAGTTCATTTCAATTGTTATATACACCTTCCTAAGATGCATTATTTATTCACATGCTTTGATATAGAAAAAAAGATTTACCTAATCACAATATGGCTTTTACAAGATAGTTCAGGGTCCTCATGATGAATAACATTTATTATGCTAAGAGACAGTGATGGCCTCATGGATTATCAGCATATGTAAACTTGTTTTTCCTTTTACCACATGGTCCTGGATTGCTATGTTGCTAGTTGGTATTTCTTTTGTCTCCTACCTTGTGGCCATCTGGGTTCTCTCCTGCAGTGTAATCGTGGAAGGACTGAAGTCTCCCAAGGCAAACTAATAATCAAGTATTACATGTAAAACCAATAAAAATATATTTTGTCCTTAAAAAGAGATAGCTATATGAAATATATAATCTTTTTTTTTTCTTCTTCAGGCTCATAATCTGCTTAATTACAATTTACTTACTAGGTTCACAGCAATTCTGAATAGGTAAAGTTGTTAGAAGTTGAACCAACTAGATAAGTAAAATGAATGAGAAACTACTAAAATTACACTTGAATTAGCCAGTCTGAAAATTCTAACTATAGTGGCCACCAATATCCTTTTAAATACCTGCACTGGCTGTCAGTGTTGTTTTTTGCTTGATTCTGAAACGAATTTCCTTTACCACTTCCTCGGCTGATGTTCCAAAAACAACTGAGTTTTGGAGTATTTGAGGATTGTTTTGTTCTTCATCTCCTGGGGGCTGCAAATCAGGAGGACTCTCTTCAAAAAGTAGCGGAGAGATGGATCGTTCATGCTCACTCAGTTTATTAACTTCCTTTCCTGGATTATCTAAATCATAAACAGGAAGAGTAACTCATCTTTGTTTTAAGAAGTATATACTTTTAAAATTTTGATTTGCTTATTTATAAAGTATCACTTTGACTAAGGGCAAATTCGAAATCAACAGAAACTACCTCTGAAAGTTATGCTTATCTAAATATACAAATTCTTAAGGTCTGATTGAATAATCCCCAGTTTAAGAAAAAGAGATGTTATTATTACTAGGCTATAAACTATTATTACAAAGCAAAAATACCAATCTAGTTATTACCTCATTATACTTATATTTTTCATAAGTGGACTGTAAAATACACTTAAATCTATACTTATACTAAAAATGTCTCCATGAACAAATCCATTAAAGCCTATTTTTCTGGGCTTAATGTAGAAGAAATACAGTTTAAATGTATTTATAACAACCAAGGTTAGCAACAAAGCTTTCTGATCCTGTCTCACAATTTTATTACATGTAAACATTTTCCAAATTAAGGCAAATGCAGAAACAAAAATTAAATTTCTAGTTTCAAGATGCATATGAATGTATATTACTTGAAAAATGAACTTGGCTATTTAGGAAAAAAATTTAAAGAAAATATAATAAAGATAATATAAAATAAATACCAAAGACATCAGATTAACTAAAATTTAAAATATGCAGTGTGAGTTAAGTCATAGATGTTAATTCAGTCAGACATTTTCCAAATTCCCAGGGCACATACATAATAAGCCTTATTTTCTTTCTCTCCTCTTTTTTTTTTTTTTTTTTTTAGACAGGGTCTCTCTCTTGCCCAGGCTGGACTGTATTTGGGACTAAAGGCACAAGCCATCACACCTAGCTAACTTTATAATTTTCTGGTAAATAAAGATGGGATTTCATAATCTTGCCCAGGGTGGTCTTGAACTCCTCGGCTCAACTGATCCTCTTGCCTTAGCCCCCTCAAGTGCTAGGATTATAAATGTGAATTATCTTGCCTCACCAATAAGCCTTATTTTTCAAACTTACATTAGCTGTTATTTATGTGCTTCAGTTCCTGTCATTTTTAAATATGCTGGTTTTAAAATGTAGAGCAATTCAGAGGGAAAACAGGCCAGGTAAGGTGGCTCATAACTGTAATCTCAGCACTTTGGGAGGCTGAGGCAGGGGGATCACTTGAGGTCAGGAGTTCGAGACCAGTCTGGCTAACGTAGTGAAACCGTATTTCTACTAAAAGCGCAAAAACGAGCATGGTGGCACACACCTGTAATCCCAGCTGTTTGTGAGGCTGGGGCAGGAGAATCACTTCAACCCAGGAGGTGGAGGGTGCAGTGAGCTGAGATCATGCCACTGCACTCCAGCCTTGGTGGCAGAGTGAGACTCCATTTCAAAAAAAAAAAAAGACTGTGGAACAGTTGAAATGTTATCTACCTGGAGCTCTTTCCCCATCTGGATGGGTAGAAGTTAAGGTAAAGAGAGCTACAGAAAAACTGCAAACCAAGTTTATGTGTCACATTCATAAACACCCTCTGCAGCCTTTTTTATGCCATGTTTTATACCTCTTTCCTCTACCACCCTGCCCTCAGGTGAATCACTGTGAGAGCAGAACTATACAGCAGGAAGCAAAGAATGCCGCCTTCTGGTACATTATCAGAGCTTCTACAGAATGTTCAGGTACCTGTTCAATCTGAACTACACTCAACTTTTCTGTGAGGCCTGGCTGTGTAACTAACTGCTGAAGTAGTTTCTTATTTGCTTTCTGACAGAAATATCTTTATAATCCCCATAACTGAGGTAATCAGAATATAACAATAGGATTAAAGCAAGCCTTCTGGACGACACGTGCTAAAAAGTGTATGCTATTTCAGTTTCTTATATTGTCTGGCACTCACCACCCAGATTTAGATGGCAGAGTAAATATTTTTAAAATTATTATTTTATTTGTATGTAGAGATAGATGGTAGTAAGCAATACACTTCCAAAGACAAACACCTTCTAGAAAACAGGGAAACAGCAGAAAATGTCTTGAACTTTAGAGATATCTTTAGACAACTTTAGAGGAAGATATATCAATTGCCTGCCATAGTTCCAATGCACTATTGACAATTTCCCATGGCATAATGTGAGGTCAGAAATGCCTGAAAGCCCAGCCCACAGGCCAGCCCACAGGGATTTATACATGAGAAGAAAAGTTAAACTATTTCAATTGCTTGAGAATACGAAAATACATGAAGAGGCACTATACAAGTAAATATGTTAAAAGCAATAGATATGAAAAATTCACATACTCATAGTGACTTTGGACATTATAATAAATGAAAAGAACATTAGTAGGCCAGGTATGGTGGCTCAAGCCTGTGATCCCTGCACTTTGGGAGGCTGAGGCAGGTGGATCATAAGTTCAGGAATTCGAGACCAGCCTTGCTAACATTGTGAAAATTCGCCTCTATGAAAAATACAAAAAATTCGCCAGGCATGGTGGCAGGCGCCTGTATTCTTAGCTACCCAGAAGGCTGAGGCAGGAGAGCTGCTTGAACCTGGGAGGTGGGGTTTGCAGTGAGACGAGACTGCACCACTGCACTCCAGCCTGGGCAACAGAATGAGACTCTGTCTCAAAAACAAAAACAAAAACAAAAAACAAACAAACAAAAAAAAACAAGAAGAACAGTAGTGGAAAATGAAAACATTTACTTTAATCCCAATGTAAAAATTTTAAAACATATCATGCAAGTAATTATTATGGGAGGCCCTCAGGGGATGCTTTGACATAATTATTTAATGATTTTCCCTCATTCTCTTATGAAAGTAAGGAATTAATAAACTAAGATTTTACGCAAAGTGACTGACATCAGGCTTTACGCACTACATCCTCAAACAATAAAGTTATACTAAATAAGGGAAACCTTTGCTCTATGCCTCTGTGTCCAGAAATAATGATTATTTTAATGTTCCTAATAAAAGAAAAGAGAGACCTATCCCTTAGGCCTTTAAATAAGGTAATAAAGTTGTGATTTGATGCCCATATTAAACTTGCTCCAAATTATGTGAGTCACAAAGTGAGAGAGTTAAGATTAATGTCATTTTGGATCTACCATTTTTGCTTCAGGGAAAGTTACAAACAGCTTTCCCTAACACTGCCTGGCCCCTCTGAAGCAATGAGTTGTGCACATGAAATGTTCTTGTGGGTTGTGAGCAAACTCTTCTGTGCCACTTTTTCATCCAGGTGAACTTTCTTCAGGGGTCCAAGACATCTTAGACAATGTGAAATAATCATACCTTTGACAAAATGTTGTAAGCAGTATGTGTAATATCTGCATGTTTCTTGGTATTGCTTTTAGATAGGTAATAAAGGGATTATTTAAGAAAAAAAAACAAAAAACCCTGGAATCTTGAGACTATAAAGTCTAAGGCAAAGAAGGGAGTGGAAAGTCATTAATTTTGGCAGAACTGAAAACAGTCATAATTGCTATAATAGATTATAGAAAATTAGGACAATGAAGAAAAATAGAATCGTCCTATGTTTTGATATGTTTGAGGCTAGTCTTTTCTAACAACAACAAAAGGCCACCTTAAACAGATAACTTTCTCAGCTTCAATGCCATCTAAACATTTTTTAGGAAAATAACTGCTATAAAATTATTTTGTTCAGGGACTCTGCAGACTCTTAAGCTTAGAGATTTAACAATCACATTTTGTTTATATGTGATATTCTACATGTTTAACTCAGAAAACCCACTGGTATTTTTTAAATTTCTGATTTTACATTTTTATAAAGGTATATCTATTCCTTCTACCTATGCAGGCTAATAAATTAACTGGGTTAACTCAAAGAGTTATGCTTTTTTTTTTTTTTTTTCACTGCTTCTTGGATTGATAGTCTTAATAAGTTGCTTACCATTTTCTACAGAGTTTCCCATTTTGATGAAATACCTTCTTTTATCCTCAGGCCAATTTTGTCTTTCTTGTAAGTGCTTTGTTATATTCAAGTAGGCTTCATCAAGACTCATGGCCATAAAATTGGGATCATAATCAGCAAGTATTTCCTTAACCTTCAAATGAAACAAAAAAAAGTTTAAATTTTACTGTGATAGCAAATTTCTTCTGTCATATGTAGCTGATAAGAAATGTTAATATTCTTAGTTTGCAACTACAGTAACAATCCTGCAATCCTCATGGATTTAAGGCATAAATAATCCACTACCAGGGAATATTTGTCAAAATTTCCTTTTGTATTAAAATAGACCATGAAGGCAGAAGATCATGAAATAGCTTCATTTGATACCACCTCTATGTAGCCACCTCAATCTAGTTATAGCAGGCAATTCAAATAAATCTCAGACAACATTATCTGCTAGGCACATACAAAACAATGGTTAACGTTTTAGGTAGCTAGTCAGAAGCTGAAGTGGGAATGACAGAATTGTATTCCCTCCTACCTTTTGTCATTTTTTTGTTTTTGGTTCATTTTAAAAAGGAATAATCTCATGTAAAGGTACTATATTGCTTTAGAAATAGTTCAACTAATTATAACATGCACATAAAACTCCACTTACTACATACATTAATTAATGCATGAATTCACTTACTACATACGTTAATTAATGCATGAATCCATACAGAAAAATGTTTTTCCATTTCCTATTACTTATTAGGATCTTGAGTGGGAAAAATGACCAATCTGCAGTGTACTTCCACGACTACCTTAAAGGATGGGGAACAGTCTGGAGTTACATCTTAGGATAAAAGAAATACATATAAATATTAGAATTATAGATGCTACAATTCAGAAATGCTTTTTATATAAGATAGTGTTATTACATAAAACTATGACTTTTTTTTCTAATCACTGAAGTATTAGCTATAATTGGAGGCAATGGTTCTCAAAATAATATGCATATTTTCCAGCTTGGTGACAGAGTGAGAGCCTGCCTCAAAAAAAATGTCTATTAGAAAACATATTTGCTGAATTACGTTATGCTTCCATTTAGCTTTTAAAACTGTCTACTGTATCACAAGAAAACTGTTCCTTGTTTTATAAAAAGAAAGCTTTTTAGCTTAATATAATTATGAACATCTGAGTCAAAAGGTATTTTAGAAAATGGTGATACGAACTTGGCCAAGTTTTACTCAGAGTGCCTTAATTAGCTTTGTTCTTGTTATAATGTGCTCAAACAGAATCTTTCCAATGAAAATGAAACTCTGGGAAGTCTGTAACTGGCAGCCAACTAAGATTCTGAATGAGAAGTACTCCCTAGAGACACTTTTGAGTATTTATTAACTTCCTTTACATAGGATATTGCTTTAAGAATTAGAACAGTCACATTCCAGTAAAAATCAAGCACTTAAAGCTCCAATATTTTAGATAGAACAAAAATGTCTAGCTGGTCACGGTGGCTTATGCCTGTAATCCCAGCACTTTGGGAGGCCCAGGCTGGTTAATTTTTTGAGACCAGGAGTTCAAGACTAGCCTGAGCAACAGAGGAAAACCCTATCTCTGCCAAAATATTTTAAAATTAGGAGGGTGTGGTGATGCATGCCTGTCATTCTAGCTACTCAGGAGGCTGAGGCCAGAGGATTGCTTTAGCTCCAGAGTTTAAGGTTACAGTGAGGTATGATCGAGCCACAGCACTCCAGCCTGGGCTACAGAGTGAGACCCTGTCTCAAAAAAAGAAAGGAGGAGTTTTTTCTGAAAAAAATTTTTTTTTTTGAGATGGAGTCTCACTCTGCTGCCCAGACTGGGGTTCAGTGGTGCAATCTCAGCTCACTGCAATCTCCACCTCCCGATTCTCCTGCCTCAGCCTCCCAACTAGCTAGAATGACACCTCCGGCTAATTTTTTTTTTTTTTTTTTTTTGTATTTTTAGTAGAGACAGGGTTTCACCGTGTTAGCCAGGATGGCCTTGGCCTCCCAAAGTGCTGGGATTACAGGTGTGAGCCACCTAGCCCAGTCTTCTTAAACTTTCTAACCAAGTCATGAATATTAATGTAAACATAAGTCAGTGATAAATTTGTTCCACAGCTCATTTACACGTAAGAACTCGTTTGTTATCTGCAAATAAATTGGCTAGATCCTGCTCAAATGTGAAGAGTTCTCTGACTTACATAAGTAACCAGACTAAAAGTACTTTGGTTCTCACTGGCATACTGCCAGAAGTTTTACTGAGTTAAAGTACAACTTTAAAAAACACTCCTTCTTACTAAATTTTTGTAGGATTTTTAAAACTTCTTAAAAGGCTATATTTATGATTAGCATTTTATCTCGTTTTAATTAGGAATACAATAAAAAAGATAAACAGGAACCAAACATGAGTGTGCTCCCTTCTCGTCCATCACCCTTTCAGAGGTAAGCACAAAGCACTTGCTGTCACAGACCACCTTGGAAAGAAAAAAACACCTGTTTTTAAACTTGGGATAGTGTCACTTCTATGGAAAATGAGGTGGAATACAAGTAAGAGGGGTGAATTTAAAGACCTCTGGCATAACTAAAGAGTAGTAAGTGTTAGGCCACAGTTTTTTAAGTGTTTCTATTCAGAAAGTAGTCTTTAACACATTTTACTACAGCAGTCTAAAAGTATTTGATGTAGCAATCTAAAATCTTAATTCAAAAATTAAATTCCAGTACTGCATGAAAGGCCAATTGTCATAAAAAATTTTAAAAGTGGCAGTTTTTCACATATGACAGTTTGGCAATTTTAGTAAATAATCAGATCTACTTCAAAGATCATTCCTGAAGCAATGGATTACTCCCTTTTCAATTATCAGTCTCTTAGACAGTAAATGATAGTGGGGCAAATAGACTAATCAAAATACATGAATTTTGTCACTGTTTAACAACATTAATAAAGAATTACTCAGAAAATATGTTGAAGTTAAATGATGAGCAAATTCTGTAGGTTATAAATAAAATGTGGTTATAGAAAAAATGTATATTAAGAAAAAATAGCTAAATTTAATTTTATATTGTCATTAAGGCAGTTCAACGTTTGAGGAAATGGGAAGAGTTTTCTAAGCAAATGAAAACTGCATGGAAAGGTAAAGAATTGGGAAATAGAATGATGTATTCTGGATACTATATGCAGCTCAGCATTCAATATACAAGCTGAAAAAGTGGTAGGACGCTCGACTGAAAGGATAAGCTAAGACCAAATCCTGATGTGCTAAGGCACTTGAACTTGACTCTCCAGGTGACAGAAAATCAGTGAAAGGCTAAAGTAGGGATGAGACATTAGCTTACCTCTTTACTCACAGCTCGGTATTTGTCAAAGTTTGGGGGCACTATTATAAGTTGTGGGCAGAGTCTCTTAGCAATAAATCCTGGCATAGCTGCACGAACACCAAACCTCCTTGCACAGTAATTTGAAGTAGTCTGAAAGAGAATTGACCACATGGAAAAAAAATATACAAACCTAAATGAGCATATTGATCAATGCTTTCATAAGAAACACATTAATATGTGCATTTTCAATTCAAGGACATTTCATTTATAGGCCACTGTTTTAACCCAAGTTTCGACTTATTCTGTCATGGTATTTTGATACCATGACCCTCTCCCATTACTATCCCTATATTTATAATGTGATACCAGGTATATGCAAGACTGTGCTAATAAAAAGATTTTCTTATATTTCCAGTAACTAAACTTCGTTGGTTTTAAGGCATACTTGCAATAGAATAAATATCAAAGTTTGGATGATAGTGAGTTACATTACATGAAAGTAATAGTATAGTAAATAGCAAAGAATAGTCATAAAATAATAGTGTAGTACAAATGTATAGATGTTACATTATACAAAGTAATAGTACAGCATAATAGTATACTTTTGGAATTTGCTGTATTTGGGATTTTGGAAATTTTTCATCTAGAACGAAAATAAAAGGTCTACTATGTGGTCAGCCGAATTGTCTCCAAAATGAAGTGGTTAAAGCTTAAAGTAAGTTTAGAAATTAAAGTTTTTTTCCTTAAGGCTTAATTATCTTGTCTGCTGAAAACATTCTGACTAGGAGATGGAACTACAAAAGTATGAGAGTAAAAAGGAGAATATTATTTATTAAATCCTGTTGATGGTGACATCTGACAAAAGTCTATGTGAATGTGGTAGACCACAATACTATTTATAAAATGAATTCTATCACAAATTGAATCCTTATTTGGAATCTCAAGTGAAATTTCAAAAAATGCAAAACAGAATCAAATGAAGGAATTATTTCAGAATAATATCAATTTTCCAATAATGATTTTCAAATGGCAATTAAAACATCTTGATAGTACTCAAAACTATACTAATCCTTGGTCAGTGTTCTGGAACAGAAAATGCAGATAGTGCTGGAAACAAAACCAATGCTTAAGTAAATAAGTTTAATAGAATTGATATAAAAGCTAGATCTACAGGAGAGGAGAAACAAACTTTTAAATAAGAGTTTCTCTAACTTTTAGATTTGTGGTATATTGTAGATCATAGCCATAGTGCTTTATAGTTACTCTTTTCAAAGCGGGTTCTAGTTCCTTATGCCACATGACTTGTCCTGTGACTTGGTTAGAGGAAAATAATGTGAGGATAGTGACACTGAGTTCTGAAACCTAAGGCTTTTGCTTTTTGTAATCCAGCAACTACTGTAAATATTTTGGGGTAGATTACTAAATGATGAGGCAACAATGGAGAAAGTTCTAAGGCTGGAATCCATTCCAATCTCCTCAGTCCTAGTGCCAGACCTGTGAATGATGCTATCTTGAATTTTTTAGCCTCAGTTAAATTGAGGCTAGCCAACTCCAGATAGAATAGAGTTGGGCCATCACCATTGCACTCTGCTCAAATTACAGAATCATGAGCAAATAAATTTTGACTGTCCACTAAATACTGGGGGAGTGTGTTATGCAGCAATAGATAACTGCTATAGGGTCTCAGTTGCAACTCTCAGTGCCAAGTTAGAACATTTCAAAAATTTATCAAATTCACCAAAAAGAATTTTACCTGTAGGAATAATGTTTAACAGGACAAAAAATTATGCTCACTAGAAGGGAAACCTATTTGTTCAACATATAAAAGGGGTAATCTTTGTTTAAATATAACAAATAGTAATTTTGAAACAATAACTGATTTTTAGGAGGACAGAAATTGTAGGAAAGAAAATATTTTGTAGATTTCAAAAGCAGTTGGTTTAGCTTTAACATGGCTACAGCAGGTTTGAATGTATATATATACATACATAAGCATACATAAATTTACAGTGTTATATTTTAATAAAATTAAATATATTTTTTCAAATATTTATTGATGATTTATAGGAAAGGGGAGTTTCCTTTCAAAAAACAGTGTTTTGGAATCAGAGTTATCAGTTGCCTGCATATTCATAGAGGCAGACATAAAAAACAGATTATAGTTTTATAATAAAATCGTAACTCAGTAAGAATTAGTTTTATAGCTATCTAAGGCATGGGAAGGAGTTAGGAACAGGGAAAAAGTCTTCTTGTTTATCTAATACTTTTCAAATACCAAAACCCATCTATTCCAGTTGCTACTTTTAATTCCCAACTCATTTTCAGCCACAGATAGCTATCCTGGTCATTTTTACCTTCTAAGGTTAGAGTGGTAAAAAGGAAGAGCAATACAATAATCAGAAAAGCAAAGGTTCCAAGTCATGGGAAAAACAATTTAATTGCATTCTAAATGTACTATATTAATGAAATATGTTATTCCAGAAATGGGGTTGGTAAACCTTTTCTTTTCTGTGAAAGTCCAAATAGTAATCATTTCAGGCTTTGCAGATCATTGAATTATTGAACTCTGCTCTTTTAGTGCAACAACAGTAATAAATAAATGGGTGTGACTTTCTTCCAATAAAAAGCTGGATTTCGCCTGCAGACCACTTTGAAAATCTTTATTAATACTTTAGAATAACATTTTTTTTTCTTCTTCAACCCTCTTTCACTAGAATGGTTACTTAAGGAAAAATTTAATTTGCCTTGTAAATTATTAGATTTGTAACTTTGGGCAAGTTATTAAACATCTCTCTGAGTTTGTTTTTTTTTCTCAAATGGAAATAAAAACGAGTACCTTAAAGCAGCAGTTCCTAACCTTTTTGGCACCAAAGAATAAGGTTTCGTGGAAGACAATTTTTCCACAAACTGGTGGGAAAGATGGTTTTGAGAAGATTCAAGCATGTTACATTTATTGTGCACTTTATTTCTATTATAATTACACTGAAATATATAATGAAATAATTATCCAACTCACGATAATGTAGAATCAATGGGAGCCCTGAGCTTGTTTTCCTGCAACTAGACGATCCCATCTGGGAGTAATGGCAGACAGTGACAGATCATCAGGCATTAGATTCTCATAAGGAGTAGGCAACCTGGATCTTCCCATGGGCAGTTCACAATAGGGTTTGCGCTCCTATGAGAATCTAATGCTGTCACTGATCTGACAGGAAGTGGAGCTCAGGCAGTAATGCAAGTGATGGGAAGTGGTTGTAAATACAGATGAAGCTTCTTTCACGTGCCTGACGCTCACCTCCTGTGTGAGGCCCAGTTCCTAACTGGCCACAGACCAATACCAGTCTGTGAACCGGGGGCTGGACCCTTGCCTTAAAGTATGTTAAAAGGATTCAGTAATTGAGTCATATATAAGGCACCCAGAAAAATACTCAGCAAACTGGTAGACCTCAATAAAGAATTCCCCTTTCATGAACTAGTAAACTTATGAATACATTACAGAATTTCCTTTTTGTTTTTGATCTTACCAGCATACTCATTGATCCTACAGCAATGGGTTTATCCCTCAATTCTGGATTGTCCCTCATTTCTACAGCTGCATAGAAAGCATCCATGTCAATGTGCACTATGGTATTGTTCAAATTTCGGCTCTCTTCTAATTCCATTGCAAATCGGTCAACCTTAATTTTTTAAAAGAGTTAACACATATTTAGACAACATAATATTGAAACACCATTAATCATAAAATTAATCTTAATTTAGTAAGTATTCATCTATCAGTCTCTGTCCACCTACCCATTCATCCATCCATTCATGCATCCACCCACCTACTTACTTAGAGGGTGTACATTTTGTTGTTCAAGAGCGTTTATGGGTTTATATTTTATTACTGTTTATGAGTGTTTATATATATATTTTTTACTTTTTTAAAATTAAAATTGGTAATTGCTTTTATTTTCGTAGAGACAGCCTGTCCTCAAATATCATTCCCTATCAAGCCTTTCATCTCTCCAAACCCTCAGGCACATGACAGGAACTTAATATTTAATGAATGACTGAATGAGCTAATCCAACTGTTTTTATCAAATGATTCTACTGCTTTATAAATTTGGAGTTCAACTCATTGTAATTAAAAGCTTCAATGTAGGTAAGATTGCCATTTGATTCATATTGTTTATGTCTTAAAAGAGCAACAAAGGAAATATACAATAAAAGACTATACTTCTTTGGCATATGATGTTTATGTTGAACAGTAAGGAACAACTGAAAATACTGAAGCATAATGTAAACATTCCCTCTGTAGAACTGCTTTTATAATGTTGAAATTTGATGTTAATCTATACAAGTAAAATTTAAAACCCAAACTGTAATTTATTCTTCATCAACTTTTATACGTCAAATATAATAGTGAATAATTTTAACCTTTAAAGAATTTTAGTTTCTTCAGAGAAAAAGAGTTAGATTTACAATAAGAAAGAAATGAAAGGGGACAGAAATAAACAAAGGAAGCAAGTAAGAAAAGTGAATACGTAGCTGACACGTTCATTTCTAACTTCCATTTTTGTGGCCAGCCTCCACTATCAAGGCAAGAAAGGCTAAATACTGACTTTTCCAGCTTACCCTGCAGCCAGAGGTGGCTGTGTAATAGCTGTGATCTATGCAACATATAAGGAAGTTACCAAGATCATTAAAGTAAAATCATAAGAGAAGAAATCTATTAAATAAGCTGGAAAACATAGAGAACATAGAACAGCGCCTGGTACATGGTACAAGTTCAATAAATGCATCTATTATTAAAAGAATCAATGGATAGCTGCATAATAAGACATCAAAAACAGAGAAAAACAGCCAGCAATGAGCAAGTGGGGTGATCTATGGAATGAAAATAACTTCTGTCATGTGGAGTTCCCTCTAGCAAATTTTCTCAAAAGTGGAGAGCTATAGAAGTATATGTGGCTTTTTCCCTCATGCTGGACTCCAACTTTGCCTCTACTATGCAGAATTTTTTTTATGTCCTTCCTTCTTAGTGTTATTGTGACACTAGCTGCCCACTAGTCGCAGGTTAAAACTGTAACTCCTTTTTTTAGAGGCAATTACCCTGACTCATGTCTCCAGGAAGTACAGGGAAATCTGTAGAAGGCCTCCCCTTGTTTAGGATATAGCTCAGTGAATGACCTGGGTTGCTCTATGCCTTCCTCAGGCTGTTCCTCTGTCTGGAGTGCCCTTCTGAGCTCTCTCACAAGCTTTCAAGGATCAGCTGAAATATCTCTTGGTACCTAGTAGAATCTCTGTCCTCTGTGCCACGGAATTTAATGTTCCTTTTTTTCCTGCTCTTGCATGGCACTTATTGTATTAGATACTAAATTGTGAGTTCCTTCAGAAGAAAAACCTTATTTGACTTCAAATTATTTTCTCAGAAGAGAAATAGGGAGGGGAGACTAGAAGGAAGAAAAGAATAAAATGTATAGCAGTATATTAAAGGTAGTTTAAAAAGAGGGAGCAGTAATAGAAAAATCTTGAAGAAATCTAACTTCTTACAGCAAAATCCTATACCTAATACATGGAACTTTTAAATACTGCTACAATTTAACATGCTAATTAAAATCTACTTATTTTAGTACCTCAATTCTAAACCAGAGAATAGCATCACGACCAGATATAAACAAATTATGGAGACTAATAAAAACAAATGTAAGCTAAAAGCTACTCTACCTTAATCCAGAAAATATACCTAAGATATAAGAGTCAAGTGAGAATAAGGAAGTGGCATCTAAGATGCCTTGATATGGAATCATCTAGAAAAAAAAAGATAATAGACAAATGGGAAAAAATTCTCCTCAGACTAATATGTTAATGTTATTATAATATCTTCAACAAGCTATTCTCCTTTTTTGTGCTTAAAGCAAGCATAGCTGCCAAAAGGAAACCTCCCCACTGTATGACTCATACATTCCATTTTCCTTTACTATCTCTCATTAGTCACCCTTCTCTGAACTCTTCTCTTTCTACATCAACTAGATACTTGTCACTATTGCTTTTAAAAGTTTCTTCAACTGAAATCCCCATTTATATTGTCCTCTCTTCATTCCATTTTCTAATGACTTTCAAGTTCTGATCTGAGTCAACATGCACATTGTTCCTCTTGCTACTGTTCAAAACTGGTATGTGCCACACTGGTTAAGAATAAGGGCTTTGTTGATTCCCGGGGAAGATGGCCGAACAGTAACTGCTCCTGTCTGCAGCTCCCAGCGAGATCAACACAGAAAGTGGGTGATTTCTGCACTTCCAACAAAGGTAACCAGTTCATCTCAATGGTACTGGTTAGACAGTGGGTGCAGCCCACAGTGGGCGAGGAGAAGCACAGTGGAGTGTCTCCTCACATGGGAAGCCCAACGAGTCAGGAACTCCTTTCCCTAGCCAAGGGAAGCCATGAGGGACTGTGCCATGAGGAGGGATGGTGCTATCCGGCCCAGATACTAACTTTTACCACTATCATCGCAATCCGCAGACCAGGAGATTCCCTCAGGTGCCAATACCACCAGGGCCCTGAGTTTCAAGCACAAAACGGGGCAGCCATTTGGGCAGACACCAAGCTAGCTGCAGAGTTTTGTTTTTTTTTTTTTGTGCCCCAGTGGCACCTGGAATGCCAGCGAGATAGAACCATTCACTCTACTGGAAAGGGGGCTGAAGCCAGGGAGCCAAGTGGTCTAGTTCAGCAGAACCCACCCCCAGGAGCCCAGAAAGTTAACACCCACTGGCTTGAAATTCTCGCTGCCAGCACAGCAGTCTGAAGTCGACCTGGGATGCTCAAGCTTGGCACGGGGAGGGGCGCCCACCATTACTGAGGCTTGAGCAGTAGGTTTTTCCCTTCACAGTGTAAACAAAGCTGCAGGCAAGGTTGAACTGGGCAGAACCCACCACAGCTCCTCAAAGCCCCTGTGGCCAAACTGCCTCTCTAGTTTCCTCCTCTCTGGTTGGGGCATCTCTGAAAGAAAGGCAGCAGCTGCAACCAGGGGCTTATGGATAAAACTCCCATCTCCCTGGGACAGAGCACCTGGGGGAAGGGGTGGCTGTGGGTGCAGCTTCAGCAGACTTAAACGTTCCTGCCTGCTGGCTCTGAAGAGAACAGTGGATCTCCCAGCACAGCACTTGAGTGCTGTCCGTAAGGGACGGACTACTTCCTCAAGTGGGTCCCTGACCCCATGCCTCCTGACTGCAAGGGTCGACAGACACCTCATACAGGAGAGCTGTGGCTGTCATCCGGCGGCTGCCTTTCTGGAAGGAAGCTTCCAGAGGAAGGAACAGTCAGCAATCTTTGCTGTTCTGCAGCCTCTGCTGGTGATATCCAGGCAAACAGGATCTGGAGTGGACCTCCATCAAATTCCAGCAGACCTTCAGAAGAGGGGCCTGTTAGAAGAAAAACTAACAAGCAGAAAGCAATAGCATCAACATAAACAAAAAGGATGACCATCTGAAGGTCACCAACATCAAAGACCAAAGGTAGAAAAATGCACAAAGTTGAAGAAAAAACAGTGCAAAAAGGCTGAAAATTCCAAAAACCAGAATGCCTCTTCTCCTTCAAAGGTTCACAACTCCTTACCAGCAAGGAAAAAAACTGGACGGAGAATGAGTTTGAGGAACTGACAGAAGTAGGCTTCAGAGGGTGGGTAATAACAAACTCCTCCAAGCTAAAGGAGCATGTTCTAACCCAATGCAAGGAAGCTAAGAATCTTGATAAAAGGTTACAGGAACTGCTAATTAGAATAACCAGTTTAGTTAAGAACATAAATGACCTGATAGAGCTGAAAAACACAGCACAAGAACTTTGTGAAGCATACACAAGTATCAATAGCTGAATCGATCAAGCAGAAGAAAGAATATCAGATATTAAAGTTCAACTTAATGAAAAGAAGTGTGATGACAAGATGAGAGAAAAAATAGTGAAAAGGAATGAACAAAGCTACCAAAAATATGGGACTATAAGAAAAGATCAAACCTACAATTGATATACCTGAAAGTGACAGGGAGAATGGAACCAAACTGGAAAACACACTTCAGGATATTATCTAGGAGAGCTTCTCCAACCTAGCAAGACAGGACAACATTCAAATTCAGGAAATATAAAGAAAAACACAAAGATATTCCTAGAGAAGAGCAACCCCAAGACATATAATCATCAGATTCACCAAGGATGAAATGAAGGAAAAGTTAAGGGCAGCCAGAGAGAAACATTGAGTTACCCACAAAGGGAAGCCCATCAAAATAACATCAGATCTCTCTGCAGAAACCCTACAAGCCAGAAAAGAGTGGTGGCCAACATTCAATATTCCTAAAGAAAAGAATTTTCAACCCAGAATTTCATATCCAGCCAAACTAAGCTTCCTAAGCAAAGGAGAAACAAAATCCTTTACAAACAAGCAAATGCTGAGGGATTCTGTCACTACCAGGCCTGCCTTACAAGAGCTCCTGAAGGAAGCACTAAATATGGAAAGGAAAAATCAGTACCAACCACTGCAAAAAACATGCCAAATTGTAAATATCATCAACACTATGAAGACACTGCATAAATTAATGGGCAAAATAACCTGCTAGCTTCACGACAGGATCAAATTCACACATAACAATACTAACCTTAAAGGTAAATGAGCTAAATGCCCCAATTAAAAGACACAACCTGGCA